GAGGATAGTGGTATCACCTTTTCGGAGGAGGATTGGGATTCCATGGTGGATAACATATGTAAGTGCTCTAGATCTCGGTTTGTGATACAGCCCTTAAGGTTTTAACCAGATGGTATTACACCCCCTCAAGACTACATGTACTGTTCCCACTTCTGTTTCTGGGGCTGTGGCCTTACAGGAACTTTGGTTCATATATTTTGGGATTGCCCGACCATATCTTTGATTTGGTGCAAGTAATCTGAAGTGGCTACTTCACTGGCGGGTACCCAGGTACGATTGTCTATGCAGGCCTGTTTATTGGGGGCTCATATCCCGGGGGTCTCTGATGCCATTGTGAGATTGATACATACTATATGTATTGCCACTTTATGGTCTATTGCCTTGCATTGGAAGTCCAATACTGTACCCTTGACCTCCGTTTTACACAGAATTGATACTGTAATGCTCATGGAACGCATTCATTATACCCTACTGGATAAGATGCACTTCTTTGATAAAAAATGGGAGTCATGGAGGGATTAGACATTTATTGCATGATTAATTACATTCCCAGTGAAAGTTGAATGGCATATACTGTCGACAGATGTATCATTTAACCTAACTCATTGTTTACAGATTTCATGTGCTTGCTATCTATTTTTTTTTCTATTCCTTTCTTACGTTAATATACTTTTCTGTAATGTACTATTCAAAAGTGCCTTGTTTTTGCTGAAAGTTTTATTTGAAAATGTGCTGTTTTACAGTCTACTTTTATACAATAAAATCGTTTGTAAACAAAAAAAAAGATTTTTTTGGGTCCCTTGCAGCTTCCATCCCTTGTCAAAGCCCACAGGGAACTTATGGAACAACCTATAACTATCGAGGAGCTTGGTAAAGTTATTAAAATGCCAATGTCACACAAGTTCCCGGGCCCCAACTGTTTACTATAAAGCCTTCTCTAACAACTGCTCCCCCATATGGCTCTTTACTTCAATACCTTGAGAGCAGACGGTGTGATTCCTTTGGATAAAAACAAAGCATATATTAGGGTTATCCCTAAACCTAATAAAGGACGCTGATATCCTATTTCGCTAATAAATTGTGACCAGCAAATCCTAACACAACTTTTGGCCCTGCGTCTTAATTCCTTTTTGGCGCAGTATGTTCACAAAGATCAATCCAGGTTTCAAATCGGGTCACCAAACATTGGATCAGATTTTCAGGTCCATAGCTTTGATTTCTGTTGTTCGCTCCAATTGGGATGCCACTCTCTCTCGGGACTTGCTTCTTTCTTTGGACCTCCATACAGCTTTTGATAGCTTAACCTGGGAATATTTGTTTACTGTGTTGCGAGCTTTTGGTCCTACATTTCTCACACTATTGAAGTCATTATACAACACTCCCTCGGCTCAAGTGTCCATAAGAGGTTATGGATCCCCCGTGTCCCCAATTCGACATGAGGTTGTTCACTCTCCCCACTGCCCTTTGCATTGGCCATAGAACCTTTAGCTATAGCAATCTGCTCTAATCCTGGAATCCACAGGGTCCCACTGTGGTCATCAAGAACATAAATGCGCTTTATTTGCTAACGATGTCCACATGTATGTTACGTCCCCTCTGACCACCATAACTAATCTCTCTTTTGCGCCATTTCTCTGAACTTTCTGGGCCCTCTTTAACCACAAGCCTACAGAGCACTTATACCCCCTTCCTGCCCAGGCCAATTTCCAGCTTTCAGCACTGTTGCACTTTGAATGACAATTGCGCGGTCATGCAACACTGTACCCATATGAAATTTTTATCATTTTTTTGTGACAGAGCTTTATTTTGGTGGTATTTAATCAACGCTGGGTTTATTTTTTCTTAAAAAAAAACTAAAAACCACTGAAAATTTAAAAAAAAAAGTTTTTTAGTTTTTAAATTTTTGTAAATAAGTGATTTTTCTCCTTCACTGATGTGTGCTAATGAGGCTGCAGTGATGGGCACTGATAGGATGCACTGATGGACACTGATGAGGAGGCACTGGTAGGTGGCACTGAAAGGCAGCACTGATATATGGCACTGATAGGCGGCACTGAAAGGCAGCTCAGATGGGCACTGATATGTGGCATTGATGTGCACTGGTAGGCACTGATATGTGGCACTGATGAGCACTGACAGCTGACACTGACAGGTGGCACTGCTGGGGCTACACTGATCATCAGGGCACACTGATCATCAGTGTACATGTCCCCTCCACGGAATGCAGATTACCGGCTCTCCTCTCGAGCTGTCAGCGTGACAGCTCGAGAGGAGAGAAATGCCGATAACCGGCATTTCCCTGTTTACATGTAATCAGCTGTGATTGGACACAGCTGATCAGATGACATCTTCGGCTCTTTCCGAGGATCGGTGATCCGCTGTGTCTGAGGGACACAGCGCACCGCCGATCGCCGCGCATGCGTGGTTAGAATGGGAGGACGTCATATGACGTCCTCCCTGAACGAGAGAACCACCTTGCGTCCGCCATATTACGGATATTGCGGAGGTGGTTAAACTCACAAAACAACAGCCCTTAATGTTTTGTTATCCTCTTCAATGGAGCAACAGCTTAGAATTATATATGACTTCCAATGGGCCCGCAGTTATTTGCCCTATTTAGGGATTAACTTGACAGCTTCAAATGAGACCCTATACCAGGGGTCTGCAACTTTTAAGACATAAAGAGCCACTTGGACCCGTTTCCGAAGGGAAAAAAAAAGACTGGGAGCCGCAAAACCATTGCAACATTTAAAACAAATCCAACACTGCATATATTGTTTCTTACCTTAATGCTATATACAGGATCGTGCAGTTAGCTTCATCCCCCATATAGTAATTCATCCCCCATATAGTAATTCACCCCCCCTATAGTAATTCATCCCCCATATAGTAATTCACCCCCCCTATAGTAATTCACCCCCCATATAGTAATTCATCCCCCCTATAGTAATTCACCCCCCCATATAGTAATTCATCCCCCATAGTAATTCATTCCCCATATAGTAATTCATTCCCCATATAGTAATTCATTCCCCATATAGTAATTCATTCCCCATATAGTAATTCATTCCCCATATAGTAATTCATTCCCCATATAGTCTCAATTCACTTACCTTTGCTCCGCGCGTTCCTCTCGCTGTGTTCCCGCGCTGTGTTCCGGTCTTCAGGGCGGACTGTGAGAGGAGAGGAGTTCGTCACGCTGCCCCGCCTACATCCTGACAGCCAATGTTCCACGCTCCGCGGGCCGGATTAAAAGAGTCCTGACTTTTGAGGCGGCCGCCCGAGAGGAGGGAGGGGAGCGGGCGCCCGGCACACAGAAGAGCCGCATGTGGCTTGCGATCCGCGGCTTGCCGACCACTGAAACCCTATTGCCTGTCACCTGGTGGGCAGTGTGCTCCGGAGCAGCAGCAAAGATGAAAAAAAGACGCATCCGGCTCTGGAGCCGCGATTTGCCGACACCCGCCCTATACTAAGCAAACTATCCCCCTTCTTTCAAACAACTTGAGGATCTTCGTCGTTGGGCTGCTTACTCCATATCTTGGTTTGGCAGGATCAACTCTGTTAAAATGACGTTTCTACCTCGATTGTTGTACCTTGTTTTTTTAGGACCTTGCCAATGCCAATTCCGAGATGTGAGTTGCAGCACCTACAGGCAGAGGTGCTTGGAACAATAGAAGGCCTTGGTTGAATCAGAAGACATTATAAGTTTTAAAATCCCATGGTGGCATTGGCCTTCCTAATCTTCAAGCATATTTCCAAGCCACCCAAATTGCGCAATTGGCCTACACTACCGCTATAGGATCTACTCCCCTCTGGGTTTCTATTGAAGCTCTTTCCTGCTATCCTTTAGCAGTCAGTTCCCTACTTTGGCTCCCTAATCAATCTCGCCCTCCTATATTATGTCCCACTCTATCTTTCTCACTGACAGTCTGGGATAGAGTATGACATCGCAAACCATTAGCCTCCTCGCACACACCTTTTGCCCTTGTTTTTTGTAATCCTGAATTTGTAATTGGTCTGGTTCCAGCCCTATTCCAATAGTGGATCATTAAGGGCTTATTGCAGATAGGAGACTACCTCTGGAGTGCCCAAATTCACCCTCTCCAGCACTTTAAAGAGAAACTGCAAATGCCCCCCCACAAAGTCTTTAGATATAATAATCTGATTGGCAAGAAAGACTTGGCATTATCTAAAGTTTCCATCAATACCGCCTTAATTGAAGCGAACTATAAAACACTATTGCGATGGTACCTGGTCCCAACCCAGACGGCGAATATGCATCCCTCTGCCTCACCAATATGCTTTTGGCGTTGCGGCCAGGTGGGTTCTATGTTCCACGTCTGGTGGCGATGTCCGATAGTAACTGAACAAGATGAATGTTCGTAGAGCCCCAAAGACAGCCCCCTTCCATAAATTTCCAAATACAGTACCAAAAAAAGCCCTTAAATTGCTTACTTATATACGGTTAGCAGCAAGAATCACTATTGCTAAATATTGGAAGAGGTCAATTATTCCGCTTGAATATGTTAAGAACAAATTGAATTGGATCATGATTAATGACAGACTCACCTGTATTCTAACAAATCTGATAAAACATGGGACCCATGAATTCAATACATTTCCGTGCCTTGATATTTCCCAATTTGGCCCACTTCTTCTCCCCCCGTTTCTGCTTACTTCTTTTTCTTACTTTTTACTGTCTCTTATCTCTCCGTTCTCTGCTAGGAACTTTCTATTTGAGCTACCCAGTTCTTATTGCACAGATTTTCTGATTTCGTTAGGTATTACTATTGTTTTCTTTGGTGATGTTTGATACCTTTTATAACGTGACATTTGTCTTTTGCATTATTTGTACCTTGAAATATTTTGATAAAAACTATTTGAAAATAAAAAATGGCCCAGTAACGAAGGGGTAATACAGGCTGGTACCAAAGAGAATAAGATTAGATTTCAATCGGTTAGTGCTATTAAATAGGAATGTAAATGAAAATATACAATACCAGAAGATATGCAGGGCAGACTCACGCAGTCCAACATCTTGAGAGCTCACAGAATCAAATAAAAACTTCAGTGCTTCTGGCCATTGATTATTGCCATCATCATCTGATTAAACAATAAAAGACAAATCAATGCCATGTAGGGAGGGAATTCAATGTTTATTTCACAATCAACTTGGAATGTCAAATAAAGGCATTCCAACACAAGATCAGGTCCTTGTAATGGGCAAGTTCTGAGATGAGAAAGCTTCTTACTAAAGTTTCTGACAGTAACGCTTAACACAGGACTACCTATCCACATTCTCAATTGTACACAATGCAGGGGATGGTTATAGGCTCTCTCAATTACACATAATGAGCAGTGAAGTACAGGTTTTGCTAAATTACTGAATTACAAGGATAAACGCAAGAATTTCAATCCATTATGAAAGATGAAAAAATCTTACACTACCTGGTTCAGTTTTGGTCAAGGTGATTCAGCTGAGTGTGATCGGTTGCCATATTATTGTAGTACTTTATGAAAGGCTGTTACAGTACTACCTTGGTATACAAATTTAATTCGTTCTGCAGGACTTTTCGTATAGCAAAAAATTTGTGAACCAAAACACTGTTTCCCATAGGAATGCATTGAAAACCAATTAATTCATTCTGAAGGTCAGAAAAACCGTAAACGCTACTAAAATACTGCATGAGTTATTTTATTGACTCATGCGGTATATTTAGTAGTGACAACCATGTGTTAATGTTTCAGCTGACAGCAGGGTTCCCCACTGACAGCTGAATGTAAAAGAATTGGCAGCAATAAAAAAAAAAAAAAAAAAAAATGGTGTGGTGGTCCCCACACAAAATCCATACCAGACCCTTATCCGAGCATGCAGCCCGGCAGGTCAGGAAAGGGGGTGGGGGACGAGCGATTCCCCCCCCCCCCCTTCACTGTTCTGGTGCTCCAGGGCTCTCAAAACTGTGATAGGTAGTTAGGAAATGAGATGCATAATTTATGCTAGTTGAAATCCCAAAAGATTTTCTTTGATTTTGGAGCCCTAAACTGTGAAAGTCTCATTCATAGGGTTATCCCCATACTCGGGAGGCACAGCAGAATGGGTTTTGAGGTAATTATACATATGCCTCTTACTAAATATCTTGAACTGTCTACTTTCCAAAAAAGTGGTAAATTAGGGAATATTTGTACTGTCCTGGCATTTTAGGGCCACAAGAATTGAGATAGGCAGTCAGAACATCAGGACTGATCAATTTTCAAATGTATATATCGCAGTTTGTAGACTCACTTTCACACAGACTAAATACACTGATTTGGGTTATTTTAACCAAAGAAATGTACCTTAATACATTTTGCCCTAAATAGAAAAAAGAAAAAAAAACCCACTTGCAAAAATTTTTTATCTAAAGAGAGAAAGGTGTTTTTCAAAACATTTTTTTCATTTACATAGCAAAATATAAAAAAAAAAACTGAGTGGTGATTAAACACCAAAAGAAAGCGGTCACAAAATTTGATAAAATGTCATTTGTGTACAGTGTTGCATGCCTAATTATCAAAGTGTAAGGCTATATTCACACTTAGCTGAGCGTTTTCAGGCACTTTTTCAAGCTTTTTTTGAGATTTGTAAATATAGGCTTTTGTTAATGAGTTTTTCAACAAAAAGGGGGAGGAGAGCTGCTGAAAAAGGGGGAGGAGAGCTGCTGAAAAAGGGGGAGGAGAGCTGCTGAAAAAGGGGGAGGAGAGCTGCTGAAAAAGGGGGGAGGAGAGCTGCTGAAAAAGGGGGAGGAGAGCTGCTGAAAAAGGGGGAGGAGAGCTGCTGAAAAAAAAAGGGGGAGGAGAGCTGCTGAAAAAGGGGGAGAAAAAGGGGGAGGAGAGCTGCTGAAAAAGGGGGAGGAGAGCTGCTGAAAAAGGGGGAGGGGGGAGAGCTGCTGAAAAAGGGGGAGGAGAGCTGCTGAAAAAGGGGGAGGAGAGCTGCTGAAAAAGGGGGAGGAGAGCTGCTGAAAAAAAAGGGGGAGGAGAGCTGCTGAAAAAGGGGGAGGAGAGCTGCTGAAAAAAAAGGGGGAGGAGAGCTGCTGAAAAAGGGGGAGGAGAGCTGCTGAAAAAGGGGGGAGGAGAGCTGCTGAAAAAGGGGGAGGAGAGCTGCTGAAAAAGGGGGAGGAGAGCTGCTGAAAAAGGGGGAGGAGAGCTGCTGAAAAAGGGGGAAAAGCTGCTGAAAAAGGGGGAGGAGAGCTGCTGAAAAAGGGGGAGGAGAGCTGCTGAAAAAGGGGGAGGAGAGCTGCTGAAAAAGGGGGAGGAGAGCTGCTGAGCTGCTGAAAAAGGGGGAGGAGAGCTGCTGCTGAAAAAGGGGAGGAGAGCTGCTGAAAAAGGGTTTGAGACTGAAAAAAAAGCGCTGTTTGAGAAAAAAACGCTGTCTTGAAAAAAAACCTGAAAAAAAAAAAAAAAAAAAAAAAAAAAAAACAACTAAGCACTCATGTTGCGTTTTCAAGGCATTTCCATTCAAGTCTATGGGGGAGAAAAATAAAACACTCAAATCTGCCTGAGAAGTAGCTCATGTACTTTTTTGAGCGACAAAATGCTCAAATGTGAACATGGGCCATTGAAATGAATGAGATTTGCTTGTTGAGTGTTTCTAAGCTGCAAGCTGAAGAAGGCTTGTGTGAACATGGTCTTACAGTACTGAAAAACAGCCTGGGCAGAAGGGGTTAAAGTGTCCGTCTCGGTGTGGTTAAAGGATAAGTTCATTTAGGCAAAAAATGCAAATTTTTTTCAGGTGGAACAGATAAAAAAAAAAAAAAAAAAAAAAAGTACCTTTTTTTCCCTCCAGAGGCCTACAAAATATTGCACCCACAATCAGTGGATCAAGGATGCAATGTCAAGCTCCTGCTGACAAGTTCTCCATCTTTCTGCCTGTACCTATGCATGGGCTGTTATAAAGCTGAAGGACTTTTGAATGGACTGCAAGCATGCTGATCAGTGGGCTCGGAGTATAGTGAAATTTAGAAGTGTCTGCAGCAATGACAGACTGAACTTGTAGTTTATTCAGCCACGCCAATTTCCAAATGTAACAGTGGCTACAGGGAGAGGGACCTGTGCCTACTGTCACAGGGAAGGTGGAAACTCAAGGAGTTAAGAACAACAAATAAATACAGATGTAGCATGTTCAAAAGGTAAATCTATCCTTTAAATGAGGAATAACCACTTTGTTATTTAGATTTGTGAAAGGAAATTAGACATGCAAATGACACCTACTGCTTTAACAAGGACTGACAGATTCACCCAAGGTTTAAAAGTAACTTGTTCACTGCATTTGACCAAGCAAAATCACCCAACTATCAAAAGTACTTTATACTTGGAAGAAAAATGGGACAGAAATCTTTGTGCTTCGTGCAAAAACTACTCAACATTAATAATCAATAAAAAAAATCTGTTTTTGCAGAAATATGCAAGCTACTTAATAACCAAAACCTGCAGATTACATTTTTGAATTTGGTAATGTGCACATTTGTTTCCTGAGCCACAGCACTGAAGCCAGGCAACTAGCATTTTAAAAGGAAAACCATTATAGCAGCCTCTGTATTTCAATACAAGTTTACTATAACTTTCTGTATCTCGTGAAGGAGCTCTCACCAATTAAATTCCTAGCCAGTTCTGCAACAATGTCACAGATCTTCTTCCTCATAGTGGACTGAGACTCCAACTGAATGACAAGTAATAATTCACTTTTAATAGCATTCTGGACATCAGTAGGTAAGGATGGATAAACTTCTTCAAATGATGATGATAGGAGACGACGAAGCAGGACAGCTGCCATCTGCCTAGTCTGTAAAACAAAAAAAGCTAATTAGAATCTATATTCGAGCAAAGATCCAGAAACAAGTCAATCTGTGCATATGATCACCAATGCCCAATACAGAAGACTGGTAAATCATTTCTGCTTTCAACAGACAAGGGGAACTTCGGAACTCACAGCTTAGTTTACTAAAGGCAAATCTGCTGCTACTGTGCAATATAACGTTCCCTTAGCTCAGTGAATGTGACAATTCACTTTGCAAAGAATATTCAATCATGTGCAATGAAAATAAATGTTAAACAAAGTTACTTGTAAATTCCTTATCTTGAATTACAGTACAGGTCTTTTATTCATAGACCACGGGTTATATGCAGACTATATTCAGGTAACTGGACACTAGCAATAAACATGGTACAGCAGCCCCCTAAAGTGCACCGCTATGACCCCGCCCACTCACTTTTTTTTTTTGTTTTTTTTGTGTAGCAAGAATTAAGAATTTATTCAAGAAACAAAAGGAGAGGGATCTGTATCCTGTTGAGTCTTCCAAGATAAAGGAATTTTAAGGCAAGTAAAATTCCTATTTTCTTAATTGTACAGTACAGGACTTCTATTCACAGACCATGGGACAAACTCAAGAGATGAGCTGAGGGGTGGGCAACTACATAGCCACAGAACTGTTAACAGGCTCTCAAGAAACAGAAGGATTAAGGAACTAAAATAAAAACACAAGACCGCTTGAAGTGCCATGCTACTGAGGGGGGGCAGGGGTTGAGGTGGCATAAAACCTCAGCTCAATCACACGATTCTCTGCACCTCCCCCCCCCCCCCCCCAACCTCACATGAACAACGTGATATAATAGCATGAACAAGCCCTAATAGTGTCTCCAGACCAGTGTAGCTTGACTCAGTGTTCCTGATTGCTACTGCACCAGACCAGTGCAGAAAGCAACTGTTTTCCTGATCAGAGCCACAGCAATCCCTGTCATCACACCAGTGAAAGTCAACAACAGTCTCCCTGATTGGCATCACACCAGACCCAGTGTAACCAGACCTCTAAATCAGTAGCAGCGTTCTTGATAGCCAGTACTAAAGTCCCACCGTCACCAGACCAGTGCAGCCAACGTTTCTGATCACTGCCACAACAATGCAGTGTTGCCTCTGCCTGTCCTGACCATGGCATGTTTACTGGCGTTTCTGCCTACTGCCTGGCCCGATCCTTCGCCTGTTTGTGGATGTCTGTCTGCTGCCTGAACTGACAATGTTCCTGTGAGACACAGGTCCCTGCCACTCCTGCAGACAACTGCACTCCTGGAACCACAGGAACTTGGCTAGAGAACATCACAGCATTCCTGGGGGCAGCCACATAACAGTAGGCTAGGCTTGCTTGGCTTCTAGGAACAGGGGCTGCTATAGGAGACACTAGGGCTGGGTGACCAGGGTAAAGGGGGCAGCACCAGTCCTCCATGCTCTTATCTGTACAACAGAAGCTCCTCCAGATGGTGTCAGTATCTGGTGCCAGGAATGGTAGTTGAGCCTGTGTCCCATCTCCACCAAGATCTCTGGCAGCAGCTGCAACAAAGAGCAGGGAGGCTCTGCTATCCTGACCTTATCCTCTTCTTCACAGTCCCTACCGCTTGCACCCAGGCCTCACCCACCCCACACAGCCTGGTGCACACTGCAGATCCTGGCCGCAGCCTGTCTGGCAGCAAGACCTGATCATTCCCTGCACACACTGGGGATCCGTCCACCACTCGGTCCTCCTCTGCAGCTAGTCCCCCTACTTGTGTGCCAGCTGCCCCCCCCTTCCGAATGGCAGCGCTGCTGCTCATACACACATGCCCTTTCTGCTTGGGGGCAGCTCGACCCCCCTGTAAAATGCCACTCAAGGCAAACGCCTTGTTCGCCTCATGGTAGATATGCCCCGGCTCAGTAGACCATTTATACATGTCAGTATACACAGTGCAACACACATACAGCTCAGTACACCATCCATACTTGTCAGTAAGTGCCTGAGAACTTGTGAATGCGTGAGGAGCAATTCCTCGTGGAACATGTAGTTCTGGGCAGGAGAGAGATGTGAGCGATTCTAAAAGACAGAAGTTTTTTTTTTTTTACTTTGCTATAGGGGCACTCTATAAATAAGCACATAATTTTTTATTTTTTTTAACCCGTCATGACAGGATAAAAAGCATGCTTATACTGCTCATACACATCGATTTTCGGATGAGAATATTTGCACAAAAATTTTCTGTACATTCAAAGACTGGACGAATGTCGTTTGAAGATTTCACTTGCTTTTAACATTCAATTTTAAACTGAATGTAATTTTTGAATGAAAACCCGCATACACTGTCCAAAATTTTGTCCGATTGAGAAAAGTTTATTCTGCTCCTTTGACGCCATGCTAAGCTATATTCCCTGACCATGTACAGAGGCGACCATTACAGTATATTGGTTTTAATACAACTGATTGATTTTTGTGATACACAAGATACAATGTCCGTGACAATCAGTCCAAACACTAAAAAAGGGGTGTGGAAATTTAAAAAATCTACTTGTCCAAGGGACTAAATCCAGTCCCCAATCTACTTCTCCCTCAAACTAAATTTTTTTTTTTTTTTTTTTTTAAACCTTAACCGTATTTAAATCCAAGGTGCTTTTAAGAATGTCTGGGGCATATGGGAGGAGCAGTCATGCCTGCTGATGTCACCCGCAGCCATCTCGTTCCATCTTTGAAGGCGATTGTACACAGGCGCTGTTTCTTGCACTTGGACACAAGTGCTATGATTGACTTGAGAAAGCGCATGTGCGTGAAACATGTCGTCCTGGTAACCGGCCACACCTCCCCTGCTTGTGGCAGTACGCCGGGCTTTCCCTGTCTCCTGGCTATCGCGGTGACATCATCACAGGATGCCGCGATCACGTGGTCCCTGCATCTGAGAGGCTCAACTCCATTCATCACCACTGTACATCATCCCCGAGAGGACGGGCCGTCAACCTGACTCAGGCATTTCCTCCAAGCCACAAGCTTAAGTGTATTATGTCCCATTGTTTATTCCAGTAAAGGTACTCCCCCTAGAGGGGTTTTTATATTACTACCACCACAGCGCTGTTTTTTTCTATGGAACTTCAAGTAAAGGAGGATCTGCCTCAGATTAATAAACAGAGTCAGGAGGGAAGGCAGCATGCAGCATTTCTGGCCTCTGAATTTGTACAAAACTCATGTCCTTTCTACAACCTTCAATTTTCAGACATAGCGGCAAGGAAATCTGCTTTTGTCAGACAGACTGCTTGGTATGTGCTTGAGAGAAAGCTAGAGTCAGAGAGGGGGAACGGTGTCATAAAAGGACATTGCTCTAGGACGAGGAACAGCCATCACCCTGAATGGTGTTTTGTAGGCTGTTTGCAGGAGAATGTTACTCAGCCCTTTTGTCTCAGCTCCCTTATGCCCGTGATCCGCCATTGCCAAGTGAGGGAATCCACATTGGGTTACCCATGGTTATGGAAAATGGAATGAATGGGGTTTGTGTATCTGGATATGAGAGCTACTATAACCAAGGCACTGTGTTCCTCTTGCTGTGCCTCTAAAAAATGGAAGCAGGGATGCAGCAATGCTCCATTTGCTTTCTTGGCAGAAAAGAACACAGACATATTTAAATTGCTTGCGCTGCAGAATGGCAGGGCATACCATATTAAGGTGAAAAACTCTCAAATTCAATGCCTATAAAACCACAGGGTCAAGGACTGGGTGAGGCTATACAAGTTCGCTCTAGGGGTGGCCCTACCAAGGTTTTTTTTTGCCAGTGCTCAATCACCTGAAGGTAGTCTGCATATAATGCAGGGTCTATGAATAAAAGTCCTGTATGATAAGTATAACAGTATAAAGTTCACTAGAAGTGAACTATAAAGTTTTAGAGTGACACTAAGGCTAAAAAAGGATAAATCAGAGTTTACTGAAGTTTTACTCATTCATAAGCAACCATCACAACCTTTTTTTAACCTCTTGGAGCCGGCCGCACGCAAATGTGCGGCCTCCTGGCGTCTGGGCCTTGACGCCGTGCGGCCGCACATTTGCATGCAATTAAGAAAAACACCCTGGGCGCTCCCAGTTACATGTCCGGTACTCACAGAAAGGTCCAGATCTCCTCTTTCGATCGGGACCTTTCCCAATCATGTGACCACCGTGACAGCGAATCACGCTCGGTCACATGACCCTTAAACCCTGCCCCCTGGCTTCTGAAACCCTTAAAGGGCGGGAGGTGTTGGAGCCAAGGGGTTAATTTTATAATTTCTCCATTAATATAAGCAGAAAACCAGTAGTTTCTCTATACCAGTCTCTCAACCTTTTTAATATGGAGGAACCCTTGAAATAACTGTCTTCAGGGAATCCCTTCTAATAATTATGTATATTTACAGCTCACAGAATATTGTGATGGTCATTAGGAAGAATGCTTTTTACATTTGTGGTCATTGGGAAGAATCCTCCTTACAGATAGCTAAAAAGATCATTGTTGTCATTGGTTACCTGTCTGAGAAGCAGACATCTCTTATTGTTCAAGGAACACCTAGCAACCTCTGAAGGAACCCTAGTGTCACATGGAACCCTGGTTGAGAAACCCTACTCTATACAATCACTGATCCTACATATCCAGTTACATCACACCACTGTGTAGTATTCTATGCCCAGTACCATTTTCTACACTCTGTCATACAGTATATCATATAGTGAATGGGCCAGAAAGCCAGAGAGACCCATCATCCCATCTACTGTACACTGAACCTGCCTGGTCGCAGCACTTCTTGCACTACTAAAAGTGATTAAATGTATCATGCACCTACTATAAACATTGAAACAGGACACTGACATTTGACATTGTACTCATTAAAGCTTACAGAACAGTTCAGCCTAAGCTAGGTAAATCTACAATGAAGCCTTGAGCATGTGCCACCAGAGATAATTCTGGAAAAAAAAAAAAAAAAAAAAATCAATCTCTCCCCCTCCTCTGGCCTATCCAGCATACGGTGTTTAAAAATATCTGTATACCTTTAAAAAAAAAAAAAAACTGGCCTGGTCATGTGATCCTGCAGCTCTGGCTCCCCTGTTTTTCAACCATTTAGCAGTCTGCCTGAGGTTTCACTATAGGACATTATTGTTGGTAGAAAGTTATTTTTACAGTATAGTTTACTTGCCCTCTGCTTTTGCCTTGGATGATTTTCCAGTTGGCAGTGACAATACTCACCTCTTCAGCAGCACCAGCATTTCTTATTGCTTGCAGAAGGAAAGTAATCTTGGATGGCCCAGGGATGCTGTCATAGGCTTCCTACAACATAAAATTAATTCAAAACCAGTTAACAGTTTGCCAGGGTGTTAACCCTTTGTATTACAAAACCATTCTTGAATGTAAATTTAACTTGCATATACTTTTCTATTTAAATTTACCTTAAATATACATTTTCATCTTCTACACAATTTGGGCTCTGATTTTATTAGCAAAATAATGCATAAAGACATGAATGGGCAAGTGTGCGTCGAATATTAAAAATTAATATAATAGTGTTTTTAATTTGTGGTGCTCAAAATGCAGTGTAATCCACTTTGCTTTTGAAAAACTGCTCCAAAGTTGCAGCATGCAGGACTTTTTAAAGTGCAGCGCACCTGCAGTTTGGATAGTTATATAGTATTTAATGGGGAATAGTTTTCATTCACTAATATCACCCTGGAAAAGCACAGTACCACTATTGAAGGGGCTTTAATGTTTTACAGTAAAAAAAATAAATATTCAAGTCCATGCATTAAAAGAATTAAGACCAATGTGTAAAGCTATGAAACCCTAATCCCCATTTGTTGAGTTCTGGTGTGCTTTAACAATGAAGAATTCTCTTAATGAGTCAGATTTAAATAATGACCGACAGTAATTTTGATGGTAAGTGATCTATAGCTGGCCAGAGACAATGAGAACAGCTAAAATAGTGAAGTGAGGATGGCAGTGCTGGGTCTTTGTTCTTAACTGCCACAAAAAGAAAAGTGCTGAACTCTGCTATGATGTCACTGATAAAACAGGCAGCCAATCAGAATTTCATATAACAGACACTGGAATGCAGATTCATTCAACCAAGGATTCCCCTCCAAGCATCACAATGTACCCTGCTGAAGAAGGATTAGGTCGCTTTAGATATAACAAAGAACTTTGCCATCCGGGAAAAAAGTTTTAGCTGAGGATAGTAAAAATGTGCAGTACCTTCATGTAGCACATCTATTACTAAATACTTTAGAAATTAAAATGACATTTACGCTAATTTTGCAACATGATCACTTGAAAATTTAGATTATGCATAAATAAAATGTTAACCAAATTTAAACAGGACTGTAACAAAGTTTCCCCCAGAACTGGGCAATGTTTACCAAGAAACAAAAGGAAGAACTGAGAAAAGCTCCTTGAACTGAAACATCCTCGTATTTCACAAGCCTAAACAATTTACATACTGTGTTAAATTAAGGAATAAAAATACCACTTCAAAAACACTAAATTGGTAACCTCATCCTAAACCCAAAAGTGTAATATAATATATTGCAGCTTACGAATCCTTAGATGGGGTGGCTGCATTAGTTTTTTTTTCTTCTCCACTATCCCCCCCCCCAGGAGCACAGCAGCATTGTCAGTCTGGAGAGTAGGGAGCATTCGATTTACTAGATTTAAATACCGTAACAAGTTGAAGCCTAATTCTAATATTTTATGAGCAATTACAACAGCTTTTTGTCTTTTGGGATGAAGATTTTACACATAAAACCAATAGAAGCTGATCATTTTAAGCACTCCTGTCAGTGGCAAATGGTTTTCCTCAACACTCTTAAATGATATATTTTTAGGAGAGCATGTTCTGTTCAAAAACAGATTGGCTGGATCACCAGATGAAAAAGGAAAGGAATGTTAAAAAGAAAACTAATGCAGCCTCCACATCTAATTGGTAAGCTGCATAACAAGGCTGGGTTTACATCTGTGAGGTGCAGTTTTTTCAGCGTTGTGTTTTTCATGCACCTTTAGGTGCACTGCCATTAAAACTATTAGAACATGCTTTCGTAAAATGTGTATTCTAATAAGAGTTTAATGGCAGTGAAACTAAACGTGTGTAAAAAGGAGCATAAACACAACCCAGGAAAAAAAAAAAACGCACTGCGAGGATGTGAACCCACCCTAACCCTTCCATACACTATGATAAACAAAAAAAAAAAAAAAAAGTTACTTGTCTTAAGTAGGGAAAAAAAGCATTAGGACCACATTCACACCAGCACTCCTGTGTTTAGCTTTACTTAAATGCATGAAAAGGGTATCAAGGAAGTATATGAAGAATAAACAAACAAGTGCCTCCCAGAACACTGTGTTTAGACGTCCCTGCTTTAAAATGGGTTTAGCTGGATTTACATGCATTACAGTTTAGAGATTCTAATTTTCCCCAAGAGGCTCTAAATCCTTTTATTCTTTAAACACAGCTAAATTGACTGCACCTGAATGCAGAGTGTAAAAGGTACCATTGAAAAAACATTACCTACATTTATACACATTTAGAAAAGCCCTTTAAACACAAAAGCAGGTTTGACACTGCCAGTGTGAATAGTGCCTTAGGCTTCATTGACACTGACAGTCCTGCATTTAGCTTTTCCAAACACAGGAGAAGTGGTCTAAGGTATAAATGATTATTACACCTCTCAGATCACTTTTTCCTGCTTTATACCTGGTTTAGCCATATTCACATGCTTTTAGGAGGGTCTAATCAGATCCTGGATAGACATGGAATTCTATTTTCTGTAAATGCAGCTAAACTGACCACACCTAAACACAGGAAAACGTAGTGTGAAAGGCACCATTGAAAAATCATTACCTGCATTTATAGTGTAACCAGAAAGTATTCAGTGCTTAACTTTTACCACATTTTGTTAAGTTACAGCCTTAGGCTCCATGCACACTGGCCGTTGTAATAACGCTGGTAACATTAGCTGTGTGAAGTCGCGTTAAAAGAGAGTTCTTCATTAGCGTTTAGCCGCGTTTTTTCACGTTTGAGGTTTTTAGCGTTTGCTCAAAAAAAGTCCAAAAATGCCGGTTTGAAGTGTTAGAGCGTTTTTACAGCTAACAAACCCCTCTAGAAACCCACTAGTCCTGGTTTTTTCCCCCCAGCCAAAAAATGCTGATTTCAGTCTACGTGTGCATGGACACATAGGATAACATGCTGGGGAGTTTACTGGCTGTAGAAAAAACAAAACTGCCAAAACAGCAGCTGTAAAAACATCCAGTGTGCACAAGGACTTATTCCAAAATGGATTCAATTAATTTTTTTCCTCAACGTTCTACAAATACCCCATAATGACAACATGTAAGAATTTACTTTTGAAATCTTTGCAATTTATCAAAAATAAAATTTACATAAGTATTTGCAGCCTTTGCTCAATACTTTGTTGAAGCACCTTTAGCACCAATTGCAGCCTCAAGTTGTTTTGAGTATGATGCTACAAGCTTGGCACACCTATTCTTGGGCAATTTCTCCCATTCTTCTTTGCAGTACCTCTCAAGCTCCATCAGGTTGGATGTGGAGCGACGGTGCACAGCCATTTTCAGATCTCTCCAGAGATGTTCAATCGGGTTCAAGTCTGGGCCACTCCAGGACATTCACAGAGTTGGCCCATAGCCAATCCTTTATGTGGGCTGTGTGCTTAGGTTCGTTATCCTGTTGCAAGATGAACTGTCGCCCCAGAGAACTTTGGAACAAGTTTTCATCAAGGATGTCTCTGTACATTGCTGTATTCATCTTTCTTTCAGTCCTGACTAGTCTCCCAGTTCCTGCCATTGAAAAACATCCCCACAGCATGCCTGCTCCCACCACTATGCTTCACTGTAGGGATGGTATTGGCCAGGTGGTGAGCGGTGCCTGGTTTCCTCCAGACATGACGCTTGGCATTGAGGAGAGTTTGGTTTCTCATTGTCAGAGTCCCTCAAGTGCCGTCTGGCAAACACCAGGCGGGCTGCCATTTGCCTTTTACTGAGGAGTGGCTTCCGTCTGTCCACTCTACCATACAGGCCTGATTGGTGGAGTGCTGCAGGATGGTTGTTCTTCTGGAAGGTTTGCCTCTCTCCACAGAGAAACGCTGGAGCTCTTTCAGAGTGACCATCAGGTGGCTTGGTTACCTGCCTGGCTAAGGCCCTTCTCCCTCGATCGCTCATAATGGCCAGGCGGCCCACTCTAGGAAGATTCCTGGTGGTTCCAAACTTTCATTTACAGATGATGGAGGCCACTGGGCTCATTGGGACCTTCAATGCTGCAGAAATCTTTCTGTACCTTTCGCCAGATCTGTGCCTTGATATGATCCTATCTCGGAGGTCTACGGACAATTCCTTGGACTTCATGGCTTGGTTTGTGCTCTGACATGCACGGTTATCTGTGGGACCTTATATAGACAGGGTTATGCCTTTCCTAATCATGTCCAATCAACTGAATTTCCCACAGGTTGTGGAAACATCTCAAAGATGATCAGTGGGAACAGGATGCACCAGAGCTCAATTTTGAGTGCCATGGCAAAGGCTGGGAATACTTATGTACATGTAACATAACAAAATGTCCTCTAAACACAAACACACAGGTTTGACAGTACCAGTCTAAAGCTGCAGACACACCAATCATAAAAAAATTGTGATGTATATTCTTTTAAGAGTGAAAGAACAAGATTCTAAATCACAAAATAGTCTTCCTCTGCAAAATGAGGTTTATGTATTTTAGATGTAATGTAATGTGGCAGCATAAACACTCCTTGCTATGAAACTACACATAATTTAGAGGAAGCATTTGAAGAATAACCAAACACTCCAGCATACAGCACATTTTTATATTTTAAAATGTCCATAAAGCTAAAAGATGTTTGGGGGAACTTACTAAAAGTGGAGCAGCTATGCAAGACAACCAGCTTCTAACCTTAGCTTGTTCAGATTACGCATTAAAAATAAATGCTAGTTGGTGACTGGTTACTATGCACAGCTGCTCCAGCCTCAGTAAATACCTCTTCGTGCTCTTAATTTTGGATACAGCAAGTCATAGTTCTCCTCTCGACATGCCCACCTCCCCCAGAAAAGATTTAATTGTTCTATGCTTCCTAGTTCGGGAGATTCACCCCCAATTGGTGACCATTTCTCCAGGATGGAAGGTGACAGAAATCCAACATTTTGAAGTGGTCACAGGACCAGGCAGTAAGGGGAAATCTGCTCCTGTGATAGCTGTCATAGAAGGAATTTCCTCTAGATAAAGGGCTCACTTCCACCACAATCTCTGCATTCACTGTGTGCATTTTTAGTGAAACTGAAACAATTTTTTATCTTTTAATTCTAATCTATCAAGTTGCATTACGTTTGAGGTGCATTTTGTTAAAGAACATGAAAATGGTGTCAACTGGGCTCATTGGATTACATTAATTTTGCTTGCATAAGCATTTGTAAAGAGCTTTTGCTGCATTTAAAAAAGCACCTGACTGCATCTGGTATAAGTGAGAATGCTGCGATTTTCTGCTCGTGAATGTGCATAAAGACAAAAAAAAAAAAAAAAGCTATTCCAAAAAAAAAAAATCAAAAAACTAAAAAAGCACAGCAAACACATTGCAATTATGCATGTGGAAACACAGTGAATGCAAAGATAGTGGTGTAACCAAGTCCTGAAGGCTGCATTCACACCTGGTGATTTTGAATCGATTGTGCCAAGGATTCCAAATCGAACCCTAATCAAAGCAAAAGTACCACGCGTGTCTGAGCACCATTTATTCTCAAAGGCACCCTAAATGAAGATATTTTGCTGCAACTGCTGTGTGGCAAAACACCTCGCACGAAGCTTTCGCCCAAAAGAAACCCCTGCTCCTTTCTGGGTGACGAGATGTGCTCACATGCGGTTTGCCACACAATTCTGTCGCACGGGAAAAAAAAATAATTAAAAATTGCATCGCGTTTGGGCTGCCATTAACCACTTGCCCTCCAGAGGATCTACTTCATTCCTGACCAGGCCATTTTTTGCGATATGGAGCTGTGTTACTTTAACTGACAATTGCGCGATCATGCAACACTGCACTCAAATGAAATTTAAGTCATTTTCCCCCCACAAATAGAGCTTTCTTTTGGTGGTATCTGATCGCCCCTGTGGTTTTAATTTTTTGCACTGCAAACAAAAAAAACTGACAATTCTGAAAAACAAAATATATATTTGCTATAAAAAATTTCCAGTAAAAATTAAAAAAAAAAAAATGAAATTTCGTCATAAATTTAGTTCAAAATGTATTCTGCTACATCTTTAAAAAAATATCCCAATACGTGTAAATTAATTGGTTTGCGTGAAAGTTATAGCGTCTACAAATGGCAGTAAATTTTTAGTTACTTTATTTATACAAGTTATGGCGGCAATCAGCAACTTATACGGGACTGCGGGGGGCATTCTGACACTGGGGGAGGATGGGGTACTGTCACTGATATCCCCAGTGACACTAATACAGTGCTAATAAAAAGCACTGACACTGTACTAATGGCATTGGGCAGGAAGGTGTTACATCTGGGGCAATCAAGGGGTTAACTGTGTGCTGTTTTACCATGCGTTGTGTGTGTTTTACTAGGGAAACAAACTGCTTTGTATTGCTCTGCTATGCAATTGTAGAGCAATACAAAGCAGCATGTCAGTGCTGACAGAGGAGATCTGTGTTTACACACAGACCTCTCCCCTTTCACTGTTCCTCGGCGATTGCAAGGTGCCGGCCGGGGAATCTCCGGCCGGGACCCAGTGATCAACAGCTTGAGCCGCCAATGGCGGTGCGGTTAGAGCGTTGCGGGCCCCCTACCCGGAAATGAAAAAATCACATGTATATATACTTGTTTTTAAGAAGCCCTGCCACCCTGTAGCAATAGTTCTGCTATAGGGCGGCGGGGAACCAGTTAAGAATGAATGGCACCCAAACGTGCATGGTGCGTTTTGCCACTATTATAGATCACGTTGGAATCGCGGAAAGTATGAATGCAGCCTAAAGGATAAGTTCACTGTTGGAACATGTTATATCAGTACCTACGGTGGAACATGTAACATGTTTCAGCTCCTGCCTCCACTTCTCCCTCCCCATGACAGTGGCAGGAAAAAGGGGGAGGGGGGGGGGGTTCCTCTCCCATTACCTGCTGTCATAAGTTAAAAACAGTGTGGGCATGCGGAGCACCACACACACAGCTGCATCATTCAATCACAGAATTCTGTGAATGAACTTCAAGTAGTCCTACATTTGACAGTTTGTAGTTCTCAATTAACTGCGAGGGCACTGATGAGTGCTCTGGGTAGTTCACGGAGTCTTCCTCCCATTCAGTAACCCCCTGCCGTACAGAAGGTACGAACAGCCACTATCCTGAGAGTGCATCGATAATGCACCTGCAACCTGCTGATAGGTGCTACAATGCTTTATAGGCTTTAGTGCTAGAAAATAAATTCACTTTTTCACCTGCAAAAAAATGTCTTTAATATAATAGTTCATTCACACTTGTGTGACATCCAAAATCACATGACAAGTCGCACCCATGTTTCCCAATGAGTACCATTCAAATCTGTGCGACTTCAAGTTGCACACTCGAAAGCAGGTCCTGCACTACTTTGGTGCGACTTTTAATGCAACTTTAGCCCAGTGAATGTAATGTTGGATCAAAGTCGCACCACAGCGGGAGACACGCTAATGTGAAGCCTAGATTAACTTTTCTTTAAAAGATCTTCTCTCACTTCCTGCTGTGTCTCTGGTACTGAACTGAAAACTAAACAGATGAGCAGAAAGGGAAAAGAAAAGAAAAAAAAAAAAAAAAAAAAGGGGAACTTCACTCCTCACTCATCAGAATTGCGCCACTGCAGGTGTGTATATTAACACCCCAAAAATGGTCCGCAAAACACGGTGTGATGTGCAGAACCGGATCGCATAGGTGTGAATACCCATACGATCCAATTCTAGTGCAAACCCAAAAAAGGGTACTGCACACCTTTTCGGTGCGGGTCAACTGGAGCCATACATAAGGTATGGCTCCAATCGCACCGCACAATTCACATGCGATATCCCGCACCGCATATATGTGAACCCAGGCTAATACAGAAAGTTTTGTCCTTGTACACATCAAATGATGGACGACTAGTGTGAAAGGAAGGGAGCAAGCAACTGCAGCCATTATGTCTTAAAGAGGAACACAATAGTGACCCTTCAGCTGGCCAATCAATGAGGAAACTCCAGAGACTGCTGCTCTGTAGTGACTGCAGGATGACATGGGGAGCGGTGAAGCCAGGGCTCTATAGCAAAGGACGACACTGGACCGCATAGAGGAGGACACTGGACCGCAGAGAGCACATGCAGTGATCATACCAGAATGAGGGGAGTCGGGTAACAGGTGGCAGGGAGGAAGCTTTATGTTCCCATAGGTACATAGCCTATGGGGGAGGGAGGAGCCGGCTGCCGGGCCCAGCACTAGCTGGGGAGTGCTGCTCACACGTGGGCCGCACTCCGACCAGGGACATATTCACACCGGCGCAGTGGACGCTCTACCCAGCACATTCCCTCCAGGGCCCTACGGCTCACCTCGGCCTGTTTCCTGGCGCCGTTGTCCGGGCTTAGCAGGTTAGTCAGGAGCAGATAGAACTGCTGCTGCTCGGCCGCCATGTCCACAGCTCCACACACACACAGGGGGGAAAGAGGGAGAGACAGAGAGGGCGCGAGACTGAGCGCGGGCCGGAGCGCTGACTAGAAGGGGCGGGGCTACGGAGGACTTCCAGCTAGCTTAGCGCCCTGACCTCACACGTCCCGCGCACCAGAGAGGCGCCGGCTACTCATTGGATGTGACTGGCGAAAAGGCGGTGCCAATGAGAAGCAATGCCGGTAGGAGACATGTGACGCACACGAGGGTAGAACGTGGGAATGACAGCTGATTGGCTGTACAGGTAGCAGCTGTTTCAGCCCCTGGGTGTGTTCGTGAAAGCTCGGTAAGCGGTGACGTTCGGTGTGCAAGGGGATGCTAGAGAAAGGGAGGGCTTGAGGGTGGGGCTAAAGAGTCAGCTGTCTGCAAAGCGCGGGAGATCCGGAGTCTACAGACTAATACACTATATGGACAAAAGTATTAGGACACCTACCTTTACACGCACATGAACTGCAATGGCATCCCAGACTACGGCTGGCCATACGTTGTACATTTCTCTTGAGAATTTTGCTTTAGATTTACCAAAAACCATATAATATGAGGTCAGACCTAAACAACACTTTCACTTTTATCCAATTAGGCGGGTCTTGCACATATAATAAAATAGCAGGGTGTAGCACTTAAAAGTTGATAATCATGATAAGATAAAAGAAACCATACATCAGGGAACATGTCAAGCCTACTCAGCAGCTTATGAACATGATAAAAAACATCAATGTTTTAAATGGCAGTTCTAAAAAACAAGTGACATAGTGCAAACGCATATAAATAAGTGTACTGAGTCACTAATCGGTGACTCGCCATGTGCACGGTGTCAGGTATAAGTCCAAATATTAAGGTGCCTAAAAGTCTTCCTGGTCCAAATGATTGGTGATAAGGAAAAGTGTAAAGACTGCGAACACACCAGATGTGCAATCACACTGCGCATTTAGAGATATCAATCTCAAAGGACCAGGGTGTCCCCTTTAACTAGTTGCCAACCGCAGATAGCCGAATGACGGCTGCACTGCGGCCGGCCAGTTCTGGGTGGACGTCATATGACGTCCTCCCAGAACGCGCTCTCCTGCGCACCCCAGGGGGCGCGCACCCGGCGATCTCCGTGATCGCTGTGTCCTACGGAGACGTGATGTGGTAAAAAGGCCAATCACAGCGGCCTTTTACCACGTGATCAGCGGTGTCCAATGACACGCTGATCACAGGGAAATGCAATTGCTGGTTCTCGGCTGCACTTTCCTCACGCTGTCAGATCGTGAGGAAAGTACTGCCGAGAACCGGCAGTTGTCAGAGCGAGGATTGGCACCGATCATCAGGGCACTGATGATCAGTGCCCTGATGATCGGTGCCCAGCAGTGCCACCCACAAGTTCCGCCCACCTGTGCCCAGCAGTGCGCCCACTAGCTCCGCCCACCTGTGCCCAGCAGATCACCCACCTGTGCCCAGCAATGCACCCACCTGTGCCCAGCAATGCACCCACCTGTGCCACTCTGCAGTGTCACACACCTGTGCCCAGAAGTGCCACCTACCTGTGCCCAGCAGTGCCACCCACCTGTGCCCACCCACCCAGTGCTGCCCACCAGTGCCACCCACCAGTGCAGCCCAGCAGTGCTGCCAGTCAGTGCCACCAGTCAGTGCCCAGCAGTGATGCGAGTCAGTGCCGTCTATCAGTACCCATCATCAGTGTCACCTATCAGTGCCGCCTATCCGTGACACCTCATTAGTACTGCCTATCAGTGCCCTTTAGTGCTGCCTATCAGTGCCCATCAGTGCCGCCTATCAGTGCTCATCAGTGCTGCCTCATCAACACACATCAGTGAAGGAGAAAAATTACCTGTTTGAAAAATGTTATAATAGAAACAAAGAAACTTTTTTTTTTTTCAAATTTTTTGCACATTTTTTTGTTTATAGCGCAAAAAGTAAAGTGCCCAGCAGCAATTAAATACCACCAAAAAAGAAAGCTCTATTTGTGAGAAAAAAATGATCAAAATTTCATATGGGTACAATGTTGCATGACCGCGCAATTGTCAATCAAAGTGCGGCAGCGCTGAAAGCTGAAAATTGGCCTGGTAAATAAGGGGGTATAAGTGCCTGGTAGGCAAGTGGTTAAAGGTCAGGTCTGGAGCCCCCCTTAAATCGACTTCCGCTGCCCATGGATGGCTCGCCTCCTCTGTGGATAGTAGGAGCTCAAAAAAAAGAAGGCCAATAGCGCGATACTGTATGAACAGAGAGTGCTTTATTAGCCAAATGGATAAACAAATAAATCACTGACCAGTATGGTGATCCAAGATGGCTGGCGGGGACCGATATGGTGCCTGCAGCATGGCATCCTAGTGCTGTAGCCCCTCTCTGACGCGTTTCTTGTGATGGCACATATCATAGGGGGTCTGCATACAGCCAGAGGACGCTATGTTTGTGCTTTAACCATTAGCCGCCCGGCCAATGGCCGTTTGGCGGCTTGAAATGGCTCCTAAATTCGGGTGCACCCATTTGGCGTGCTAACATCGCTGTTTGCGGCACAGCAGAGCGGCGCCTCTTGGATCTGTCACGGGCTGTGCACCTCGTTGGACAGATCCGAGTAGGCTCCCGTAGCTCACCATGTACCTGCAAATGGACCAATCACAGAAGGTCATCACTGATAGTATGGTATACAATGGATGGCTTCATTCATGATGCCATGCATTGTATACTAGTGCCTAGCTGTGAATGGTCACAGCAGGTCACATGCACATGTCATGTGATTAGCTGTGACCAAATCACAGCTACCTGCACAAAGCGGCCGCCATTTTGGAATGAATCAATTCAGCTAAATGCTTGCTTATAGCAAACTAATTCTTTGCTATAAGCAAACTGTGTATAAAAAAAAAATGATCACTTCCCCAAAGTAGTACAATGTTACTATGGTAACATTGTACTACTTTGGTCATAGTAAATTATGTAAAAAAAAAAAATCTTTAAAAAAATGCTGTCACCAGTCATTATGTCCCTGGCCAATATAAAGTTTATATATGGTATGACAGTATGAAAAAAAAAAAAAAATAGTGAAAATAAAAAAAATTTTTTCATTTTGCGAAACAAAAAATTATGAATAAAAATACAACTTCAAAAAACTCGTGCTTATGTAGGTCGGACTGTCCCTGCTCATTTGGGATCTGCTAAAATTCTGACATTCTTGGAAACTCAAGTAGATGGCATGTCACTTCAGGATTGAATAAAATAGATCAATCTATACCATAGTTTGAAATGCTCTATAACTTTGCATACAAACACATCCTAATTTGGGTTATTTTCACCAAAGACATGTAGCATCTAAAAGGCCTAAATTTATGAAAACATCCATAACAGAAACAAAGAAAAAAATCCATCTTTTTTTTTCAAAACTGCTTTTTTGTTAATTTAGCAAAAAAAAATGCATAAATACCATCCCCATAAATTTTAAGAAAGTGAAGAAAATGATAAAATTTTAGTTTGAGGTACAATGTTGTATGAACCGTGCAATTGTCATTATGAGAGCGTGAAACCTGAAAAATGGCCTGGGCAGGAAGGTGTAAAATATTTGTATTAGATATGTCTACCACATATCTGCTCATACAAGATATAAAACTATCAATGTTATAAACTTTCCCTGTGGTTGAAGAGGTAAATGTATCAACCTTCCTCTTCCTTTGATTATTGCACGTACAAATAACACATTTGTTGCACGGGTAAAATCCTTTCATGCTATTAAAAAAGGACATCTGTGTAGGAGGGTCAACTATATTAGCCAAATGGATCCATTATTAGCCAAATGGATAAACAAATAAATCACTGACCAGTATGGTGATCCAAGATGGCTGGCGGGACCGATATGGTGCCTGCAGCGTGGCATCCTAGTGCTGTAGCCCCTCTCTGACGCGTTTCTTGTGATGGCACGTACTCATAGGGGGTCTGCATACAGCCAGAGGACGCTATGCTTGTGCTTTAAATAGAATGGCACCTGCGCGTTTATGCGGCCGCCATTTTGCGAAAGAATGTTGTCCATATGCCAGGCGTATATGGCGCATGCACGAGCGCCGTATATGAGACGGAGTTGATATAGAAAAAGCGGCGCCTGCGCATTACACGGCCGCCACTTGTTATAGTGCAGTTGCTCATACTCAGGCGCCATTTAAGCGTAGCTGAAGTCCCAGCACATGCGATAGGTGCCGTGCATGGAAAGGGGTGAAAGATCTAGCAGTAAAAACTAGATCACCAGGGAAAGTAATTAACATATGAATGTTCAATTGAGAACATGTTTGCGCATATGTTGTGAATATATAGCCATAATGGATTACCATAACGGATTACAAATCTGAAGGCATACAATACATGGCAAACTAATGTAGCGGCAGGGATCACGATGAAACCCTGTCATTATAAATAAATGTATTGCAAATATAAAGTGCATAAGATATATGAAAATAAATATGACAAAGATATATATAACTGGCCACAAATACAAAATATAAAATAATAAAAAACATTTCTGTTCATAGTATAATTTTGCGAAACAACAAAATGTAAATAAAGTTTAAAATACACATACAATTTTAATAGAATAAAATAGGTAAGATTATAGAATAAAATAGACATAAATGTAAAAAATATGAATGCATAAAATTCGCAATGACCAAAATAAAATAAAGTAAAATAAAATCGCAATGACCAGAAATAAAACTAAGATAAAAATGGAGGCAATAGAATGCAAGAAATGCGTCTAAGATGCATAAAATGCATAAAAAGGAGAGCATAAAAGCCAATAACATTGGTGATAAAATGTGGATATAAAATAAATCAGAAAAAATACTGAAATCAATAAAAGTGGATGGATAGTTAGCTGTTATCAATGAAACAGTTAATGTCCATGTCCACATTAAGACCTTTGGGGTACATGGAGCCTATCTCGTAAATCCATCTTGACTCCATTTGAGATACTGCTCTTTTTTTTATTTGT